CAGGTTGGGGGGGGGCTTAGGGTTGGGGTGCAGCAGGGGTACAGGCTGTGGGCTTTGGGGTAGAGCCAAGGATGAGGCTTTGGGGTACAGGCAGATGCTCAGGGCTGGGGGGGCACTGAAATTGGGATGGGGGAGTTGAGCTCAGGTTTACCTGGGTCTCTCCCTACTGTAGCTGGCAGGGAGCAGCTTCCCTTAGCTGGCCACCGCAGCTCAGTGCTGAGGCTGGAGGAGAGGGGCCCCTCTCCATTGGCCTCTACAGCTTCAGAGCTTGAGCCTCTGCATGGGGCTTACTGGGAAGTTGCATGGCCATGCAGCGTAGGAGAACTATGGTCTAGACTCCCCCACCTTCTAGGAAATGTGGTATGGTCTGGCGGATGGAGCACCAGGCTGGGGATCAGCCCATTTTGGGGATGACCAGCTTTGGAAGCCTGGGTCTGTGCCCTCCCCTGCCTCTTCATGCCACTCACCTATTTCCCGAATCAAGGACAGAAGGTACCTGCCCTGCTCCCAGGGCTCCCCAACATCCTGTCTCTGGCGCTTATGGTACCACATTGACACCTCCTCCATCACCTGTCTGGGCAGTCACCAACACGAGCGCACAGTGGGCCCCTGCAACACGGTGCTTTCTGAGGAGCCCTGGACAGAGCATGGTTTGGGGAGCAAGCCCCGACCCCAAATAACACACTGGACACTAAGAACTTCTGCTGAGGGCACCTGGGCCTGGGAGAGGGGAGAACAGCCCACGCGGGCGACCCATTAGCAGCACATCCATGACTAGACTATGACCATCCAGGGTCCTGGACACCCCACCCCACCGCCCTGCCCCAGCCAGTCACCCTGCGTGACAAGTTGGGAATTTCTGTGCTATTGCTATGAATACAGTTTCCCGCTGTGTACTGCATTGCTGCCCATGGGGGCAATAGGGTTAGATCTGCTCTCAAGGGCAGCGCAGGGCCGGAGGGGTGGGGGCTGCCTTATTGGCAGGGCCACAATGGAAAAGTTCATTCAGGAACCTGCCCAAAGCAACCACATCTCAATGCTCAGCCCCAAAGAGAGAATGGGCAGCACGTTACCCAAGGAATCAGCCATCCAGAGGGAGGAGGTGGGTCCCCTCCCTCCAATTCTCAGCAAGGGAGCTGAGCAGAAACTCCTCAGACACAAAGAACAGGGGTGACGGGCGAGGATCCTCTAAGGGGCTGTCCCAAAGCTGGGGCGTAGCACCCGCCCTGTGGGTTTGTGAGATCTCGTCACTTGGTGATTCCCTGTTGTGTTCCCTCCCTCTGCGGCACCTGGAATTGGCCATTGTCGGAAGACAGGACACTGGGCCAGATGGACCTTTGGTCTGACCCAGTGTCTGGCCGTTCTTCTGTTCTTATTTCCTTTCCTTCCTGGTCAATGGCGACCCACATGATCTGGCTGCTGGGAGAACGCTCCCCTACACCCCCACACCCTGTCCTCAGGCAGGGTCCATCCCAAAAGAGGAGGGGCTGGCCCCTGTGTGCCCCCCACAGGAGTCAGTGTACGGGCACCCCTGCCAGCGCTGAGCCAGGACGCTTCTCCCCGGTGCTCTAACCAGTCAGAGCCCAGGCCCACGTCTGTCAGCCCACGAACCCTGCAGTGAGCCGGCGCGAGCTCCCTGAGCACATCATCCCAGGCTGGGGTTCTCCCCAGAGTGTGACCGACACACTTAGCCCATGTCCGCTGAGAGCCTGAGCTCTGTGTTCTAGCAGGGTCTGCCTCTCAACCCACTGCCTTGGGGGGAGGCCTTTGCCAGCTCCACTCCAGCAGCTATAGCCTGGAGCTGGAGATAGTGCTGGGCCACCCCTGCCGCCCTGAGGGGAGAAGGGAATCCCTGCTGCTTTCATCTCCACCCACCTCCCTCAGCCATGGAGTTGCCTTTAAAGTAGTGGTTCTCAAACTGCGGTCCCCGGATCACTATCTCCTGCACCCCCTCCTGCCCAGATCCTGCATCCCCTTTCCTACCCACTTGCCTTGTCTTGCACACTGAACCCCTCATTTTTGGCTGCTTGGGGGGGGGGGGGGGCTTTTCAAAAGCTTCCTGAAGTATTAATCTGGCCTATGGGGACTCTTGAACTTCAGCTCCCCATCCCCATGGGACTGGAGCGTAGAGGAGTGAGGGTATGTCTACACTACAAAGTTAGCTCG